TCCTTTTTTTTTTTTTCTGATTGATGGGTGGGGAAGGGGACTGAGAGATACCATCCCCGCCCCAATTTTTTTTTTTTTAATTTCCAAAAATATGTGAGAAGACGATTGTATCTGGAGCTAGAAGGCGGAAAGATACAATCCCCGCCATTTTTTTTTTTAATCTTCTTCGCACGTGTGGCGATTGGTGGAGCGAGGATCTCCTCCTCCTTTCGGTCTTCTGTTCGTTCGTCATATCCTGTCTTTAAGGTAGGCAGCACTTATCGTTTTTTATTTTTATTTTTATTTTTATTTTTTATTTTTTTAAATAACAATCGTTTTTTATTTTTATTTTTATTTTTATTTTTTATTTTTTTAAATAACAATCGTTTTTTATTTTTATTTTTATTTTTATTTTTTATTTTTTTCAAATAACAATTTGGACCATATCTGGATTACTTATTTCGTCTCGGCAGCAGTGATTGCTTTTCATATTTTGAAGTTTTATTAATTATTTTTAAATTTTAATTTGATAATAAATAATTTGCACCTTTTTTTTTATGACCTATAATCTCTTTTCGATCCATCGATTTCTGGTCGTTTATTGAACTTTGTTCTCATCTTTTTCATGTTCTGCCACACTCTACCCGTCTTCCCGCAGAAACGATGTACTCTTATCGTAACTGCATCGGACCAGAAAGATAGCTTGTATACACTCTTATCAGACCTGCATCGGACCGGAAAGATAGCTTGTATACACTTTTATCAGCACTGCATCGGACCGGGCAGGAAGATTAGCTTTGTATACACTTACGTATGATGAGGGTACGTTGTATTTGGGTGAAGACTATTCCGTTGAACTCTCCACTGTGCAGATCATCTCTCTCCTGACACTGTTCCTATCCTCTTCCCTCGAGCAGAACGCACCCTGCTCATGAATGTATACAAGCTATCTTTCCAGTCAGGTACAGTCATGATTCCCTTGAGCGGAACGCACCCTGCTCATGAATGTATACAAGCTATCCTTCCAGTCAGGTACAGTCGTGATGAGCGTGCGATGCGTTCTGGGGAAGACGGCAGCTCCTCCTCCTCCTCCTCCTACTACTACTACTACTACTACTACTACTACCACAACTGCTGCGACTACTATTTATCTATTCTTCATTCGTTTTTTTTTTTTTTTTTTTTTTTTTTTGGTTGGGCCGCTACTACTACTACAACTGCTACTATAATATTTGTTTAAATAACTTATTTGTTCTTCATTAATCTTTTTTTTTTTTTTAAATCTTTCCTTTTTGGGGCCAGTAGAACTCACTACTAAATGGCTGCGTGCCCAGCTCAGTGGGCGTACTATTCTTTCGCCTTTTACTAAAGAATACCGTGGGCTGAGCACCCTTGCAGACTAGTCGGGAGGCCACTAAAAAAAAAAAAAAGAACTCACTACTAATGCTCTACTACAATTGCTACCTTTTTTTCCTCTTTTTTTTTTTTTTTAATTGATACTTGTTTTTTTTTCACTACGACTACTACTACTACCTCCTCCTGAACTGCACTTTTTTTTTTTTCTTCTTTTTTTTTCCCGTTGCACTGCGTGCCCTTCCCGCGCATTGGATATGATTAGCCGAATACTTACTGCAATATGAAAAAAAAAAAACAAAAACAGATGAGGTCATGGAGATCTCTCTCTTCACCGGTCCTGCGGTCTCTAATTGATTGATCGTTTTTTTATTCGATTTTCAGAATTACTAGTAATTATGGGCGAATGCTAATGCTATTGGGGGAGCTCTGAGTGAGAGACACGTGTACTTGGCGTGGACCTTCCAAAATGTGCAAAGGGCTTGGGGGGGGAAAAAAAAAAAAAAAGGGAAACGGTGGAAAGGGATTTTTTTTTTTCTTTTTTTTTTTTTTTTTTTTTTTGGGGAAGGGATTCTGAAAATTGCCTGCCAGATGAACTGCGATGTACATATATGATGATGATATATGATATATTAGTAATAATGGTACAATATGTCGTCATATTTTTAGGTCAGTATCTTCAAATTTTTTTTTTTTTCTCTCGATTTATGCGTGTCATCCTTGCGCAGGGGCCATGCTAATCTTCATTCTCTGTATCGTTCCAATTTTAACGGATGTCCCGAAGGACAGGTCAGTATCTTCATACGTTTGGTTCAGACTCATTTTTTTTGTGAGGATGAACCCTATATCCACGTGGCCAGCCTTGTACGTGAGAGGTCATGAACACAGGCAGAGCTTTCCTTCCTCCTTTCTTTTTTCTTTTTTTTTTTTGTTTCGTCTTTTTTCGCCTTTGCGCTCGCTCCAATACACGGTGTGACGATGTATATAGGTTCAGGCTCCTGATGAGTCGCTGGGTGAAACTTCGACGAAACAGTCTGTCACAGCCCGTCGTTGTGTTTTTTTTTTTTTTTTCCCCTCTCTGCCCATGACGGTTTATATATACATACAATATACTTTTGAATTAGATAAAAAAATTACTAAATCAGAAGCAAAAAAAATGATAGAAAGGCACTTTCAAGTCAAAAAGGCGTCTGCTGGACGAAATTCCACAGGTCGTATCACCCTTTTCCATAGAGGCTCCCACGCAAAACGATTGCAGCGAAGAATTGCATAGCTTTGGGAACCTGGAGCAAGCTTTGGGAAATTGTGTACAATTAGCATATATACCAGTGGGTATGTGACGATATATTATATATATATATAGCCGCCGCTCAAACCTATACCCACGTGGGCGGCCTTATACGCAAGAGGTTCTGAACAGGGGGAGTTGTAAGGAAGAAGATAAAAAAACGAATTCATTTTTTTCTTTTTTTCTTTTTCCTTTTTTTCGCTTTTGCGCTCTGATATTCATGTGACGATATATATGACGATATATATATATATATATATTTGACGATATATAGATGTACGCTGTCCTTTCTGTTCCCAAGGACGCTATCAGAACTGCATGATGCCGCACTGTGACGAACGTCCTGCTGTTTTCTTGACATGTGGGCAACATGTCCTATGTCGGGATTGTTTCGATGGGATGGTTCGTGCTAGCCGTCCGGCTGAATGCTGTACTAACGCAACTCTCCTTGGGTATCCCTGTGAACATCCCCGTCATCCTCACCGTAGTTGTCCTATCTGCCGAGGGGGTGACAGATGAGGTGTAGAAGAAACAGATAAGAAAAGAAACCGAATAAAAAGATAAAAAATAAATAAATAAAAAAAGACACCAAGGAAGGAAAAACACAAAAAAAGAAACCTGAGAAAAAAAAAAAAGAAAGAAGAAAAAAAAAAGTATGTTCTGTGGGATGGTAATTGGATTATCTGTGGGATGTGTCACTTGCTTCGTCTGTTTAATAGGCTTTCTTCTTCTGTGAGGTTTGGTTTTCTCCGCCTTTTCTTTACCTCTTTGCCTTTTGGCTGCGTGCAAGTGGGTCTTTATGACACACAGGGATGGGGGCAGCCAGCGCTCAACCTGTCATCCACGTGGCTGGCCTTGTACGTAAGACGTGACGAACAGGCGGGGCTTTCCTTCTTTTTCTTTTTCTTGTTTTGTCTTTTTCCGCCTTTGTGCTCCGATTTCCAGTGTGACAATATATATATATATATAGATATATATATATTCTATTTGTGACGATATATATATATAGATATATTCTATTTGTGACGATATATATACTGTTTGTGACGATATATATACTATTTATTTTAATTAGAAAGGGCTCCTTTCTATTTGTGGGGGAAGCAAGAATTTGGCCATTGGTTTTCTTTCTTCTTCTTCTTCTTGGGTGGTCCCGCAATGAAGACGGATCTGTGGAGAAGCCCCCTGTCAGTGAGGAGTGGGTGCCAGGAGCGCAGCAGCCTGATTAGCCGAAAAAAAAGCGTCGGGGAATTTGATTTGAGCGTTTTCAACTGAGAACTGTACATGCGGACGGAGAAGTCTTGAAAGATCTTGTGGATGGGAGTGTGCAAGAAGCAGTCTATGGCCACTGTTTTTTCACTATTCTTCTTCCTTTCGTCGTCTGCAAGACTGATTTTCGAATAACAAAAAGAGTAAGAGAAGGA